TGGTCTCCAGGAAAGCCGGCAGAGGGCAGAGGCTGCCAATACATGAGGGAGATTTCTCTACTGCCGGGTATACGTAAGTATGTCCTTTATGGCAGCGAGGATTTCAATTGTGCCACAGCCTCTACTGAGAGGCTCATTCCCCTTTCTAGCTTTGTTGCCCACAATCCAAGCTTTCTGCCCTTCCCTATACCAAGCACATGCAGCCGATTACATATATACATATATATACACACATACTACATCCAGAAAATGTTCCATCTGTTTCAAAGAAAACAAAACAACCACCACAACCACCACCACCACACACACAAAACAACAAATGAGAAGCCAAGGCTGTGAAGGGAGTCCCCCAGCAGGGTGTAGCTGTGTTATCAGCAAGTGGATTATCAATCAATAGTCTGTAACAAACTTCAAGGGCTCGGACACAATAGGAAAGGAAGCTGATTATTTAACTTCTGTATTGCACATAAGGATTACAAGAATTTCTTAGTCCAGCCAGAAGAACCAGCCTCTATTCAGACCATGGATGGAATTTGGAGACATAAAAATTAATTACTGTGGGGTTTTGAATGTGAAAGTCTTAACTCCTTTGCCTATGAAATGAAGGAATAGATAATATTAAAGTGATATTTAGGAGGGAATGAGAAGTAACAAGCCACATGCCTGTTATTTCTATAGTTTAATATTCATTATCCAGTGCCTCCTGTAGATATGAACTACACCACTAATCACAGTATTTTCCTTGTATGAACTTCCTCTTAAATACTGTTATTAAGTACGTACTAGGACATTCTTACAAATAAAAAAGTATTGAAAAACCTTAAGATTTGAGTCCCTGGTTTCTGCTCCTGCTTTGGCTGCTGGTCTGCTGGAAGACTTTGAATACATCTCTGCATCCGTGCTTCATAGTCCAATATATGAGACCATTTAAAAGTGCTTTGAGATCTACTGATGAAAATCAGAACATAGGAATGAAATACAATTATCTCTCTGTGAGTGCAATAATAGAAACTGAAAATACCTCTTTTGTCATCGCTTTCATTGAAACTAATGTAAAATTGCGACCACAAGCAAAAGTCCTGTCACTTCGCTACCAGCTGTATTCAGTGATTTGCAAAAGAAGTACCATGCAACGATTACCTCACCTAGGTAATCTGGACATCACCTGTGTATCTGGTGGTAGGTAGTAGTATTTTCTATCCAGCACAACAGGCATTAATTAT